AGTAAGACTAAATGAATATATTTGAAAGTTCGGTCAATGAAATCTCGATTCTTTTTTTACTCTTTAGTAAATGAAGTGATAGTTTGTTATAAAATCTCTAAAACTGAGGATCGTTATGTGATTAAAGTTTTGAATTAAAACAAAATCTTAATACCAAAGAAATAAAACATCGCTTTGATCACGGTTAAGGTAATTCCTATCCTTCACATTCTACTGTAAAAGAATAAAGCAGTTTTTATGGCCAAGAATCCAAAGAAAGATATTCTTATGAATATAAAACATTGGAATCTGGCATAAGAAATTGCAATTCGTGTACAGGAGGAAACACTGAGGGACAGGGAATTAAAAGTCTAAGAAGCAGCAATAAAACTGGAAACAAAGAAAAAAACCCCGCATGAACTACTTCATATGAACAACTCTGTTCTAGATGCATGTTCTGATTTTTTTTTCACCGATTCAAAAATAGCAGTGTGTTGTGTGCTTTATCAGTTGGTAAAGCTATAGTACAAATCAGAGAAACGTTTTACGGTCGTAATAGGTGATAAAAAGGTGATTCTATACTACTGTCCTCGAAAAGGAAATCAATGAAGTGGGAAAACTGGTGAAGTACCAGCAAGGAAAACAAACTTTCAGCATTCAAAGAAAAGGATAACAGACGTCATTTTAGGAGAGTTTCAATGCATCCTATTGCTAAACGAAACTCAGCCATTAATGGGGAATATTATGCAAGCCATTTGTATAAATTGTGAAGTAAAATTAAGGAGAAAAAGCGTTGAATACTGAGCCGCAAATTCCATCATCTCCATGATAATGCTGCTCATATGAATATATGCTCATGATAAGCTGTCTTTGCTAAAGCAGGAGTAGTGAAGTATCAGAAGAGCTTGACCACCGACCTTATGGGCCAGATTTAGCTCCAATTAGATTATTACCTATTCTCTAAACTGAAATCTAACATTAGAAATTTAATGAAAATGATTCCGTGAAAACAGGAATTATGACCCATTTTTAGGACTTCAGCTTATATTTTAAGGGGCAAACGATTGCTCGTAAATGATGCTTGATGATGCGATATCGATGAGCAAATAAACTCCATTTTCATATAAGTTAGTATACATTTCTATATTTCGTTTATAAATATATCAGATCATAATATTTTCGATCTAGTTACATAACAAAATAGATTAAAGTACGATTCAAAACGTTATAATTTCTAAATTTTGCAATTAGTAAGGGAATCTTATACGTACAACCTTAAAGTTACTGAGACTTCAGTTTGTGATGTTAGTTCTCTGGGTAGTAATAATGGCGATAGATCTTGTATAATGCATTAGATGACATATTTTTGGAACAAATTCTTTTATGTATGCATGCATTTTTTATTGAATATTCTCTGTATCGTTTCGTCAGTTGTTCCTTAATAATTTCCTTACTCTCTTTAAGAAAAGCATTTCTAATTCATTCCTGTGTTTTTATTTCGATTTCAATCACGAGGAGGGAAATTTTGTTGAAGTGCAGATGAAATGCTTAATGATTCATTAATTGCATCATTAATTGCATATCTTTTCATTTCTTAATGGACGAAACCAAAATGTATAAAAACAAATCAATGAAACATTTGCTCGTCTTCCATATCTTTTATGCGTCCATAATCTTGACTTGTTTACGTGTATCTTAAAAATGCCGATCATCGCTCCAAATACAAATAACAAGCTTGACTCAAGTCAAAAAAATACCACTCGCTGTAACCGAAAGATAAAGAAAAACGGAAGTTTCTAGAGCGCTTTTCTTTATTTATTTTACTTAAGCATTTGCTAAGGAAGCCTCGTCTTAGTATATCAGTAGTTCAATCTCAAAGAAAAAGAAAAGATTTTCCATTTGAAAATAAAATCTTAAATTAAAAACCTCATAATAGGAGTTTTTATGATTTCATAATTATGCAGAGATATTTCTAAAACTTTTCCCTGTTTCTCTGCACTGTTGTATTGGATACACAAAAGGAACACGCAAAGTTAAATTTAATTACTGCATTGCATCAGCGTTTTGAAAATAAATTTATCTTTGGATCCGTTTTAAAAAGTTTCGCTTTATAAGCTTAGCTCAAATATTTGTTTTTATTCTAAGAAAAGCTCAAATCTTAACGAATATACAATAGTAATATTCATCGAAAACCTTTAATTTGAATATCCACTATAAAGAACCATTCTGAAGACACTATATGCTGAGGCTGAACTTAAGATCATTTGGAGCCACATATTAGAATAAAAAAGTTTCAAGAGCCACAATTTGATTTTCAAAAAGTGCAAATATGTATTTATATTCTTTTTTGAAAATAATAGAACAATATTCTAATTTATTGAAACTTTTTTTAGATCATTGTTCTAAAAAAACGTTTCAATAAATTAATAAAAATTTTGCATTTTATAATTTATACGATATGTTTTAAGAGTAAATAAATAATTCCGGTTGCTCTGTATTCGGGAATTAATTTTCTATAGACATCAATCTTTCTATAATACTTATTTTTTTCCCAGCTGTAAAATGAAAGATAAATTTGCTTCTGTTTATAAATACTAACTAATTTCTATAATATAAGTAAAGTTTATCTAAAAAAAAACGAAATAGTGGTCTGTAAATACTGCTATACTTTTTTACTTCAATAACTTAAGAAATGAAAACCAGTAATTTTTTTATATATTTTGCTCATACACACACCTTTGGAAAGGATACAAACGTGTGAATAAACAGCGCGAACAAATTGAAATCTGAGTAGTTTCTTACCTCCTGCCAACCTATATAAGATACTATAGATAAGCAAGGCAGAAAATGTTTTCAGTCCAATAATTTGATAGTGAGTTTTCAATGAAGATCGAGAGTCATAAACTGATAGAATAGTCCTGTCTTGTTTAGTTTTACGAATTGTTTACTATGTGAAAATATTTTGCAACTTATTTCTATGTAAGGAGAATGAAGATACATGCATTATCGTGAGTGCTTCAGTTCGTTTTTGTAGATGACTACGCCCGTCTGCATAGGGCTAACATGATAGATGTTTTCTAAAAAGTGAAAATATTAATCAATTGGATTGGCCATCCAGATCTCCAGACCAACATTTATCGAACATGCCCTCAGTCCCACTCCTGAGCTAGGAGCCAGAGTCCAGCCTTAAACTGCCTCATTTCCAATATGAAGTCAGGATGTGAGAGCTGTATGACTATTAGAGGGGAGCATTCCCCGCATTAGCTTCTATTTTTTGATCTTACCGCTATTTTAGACCTTCCTTTGTCAATGGGCATTACGCATGACTATGAGTGTATACCACGACTGCTGTATCATAGATATTTTTGTATTATATCAATCTATGTTCACACCAGGTACCATCAAAATTTGTCCATAAGTTCTGAAGACAAACCAAATATAAAATGTCTTAATTTTGTACTTTCCAACCCTCCCCTTTTTTTTTTTTTTTTTTTTTTTTTTTTTTTTTTTTTTTTTTTTGCTCTTTACTTATTTTTCAAGTTTTAGTTTCCTCAGCACCCTTAACCCTTGTAATAAGAGTACAGCAGATGCCGTTTGCGCTTATTTTGTAGGCATTCACTGAAAACGAATAGAAGTTTTACATATGTATTGCTCTTGCGCTGCGTTAAATTGTTTATTTAAACGCAATACAAAATCAAAATGGTAACGATTAAAGATTTTTATATGGTAATGAATCTAAAAAAAGCATTCACATGTTTTTTTGTCATGGCACGGACAGTATTATATAATGAAAGAGTGTGCTATGGTGCCACGGAGGATATCACTGCAAATGCTAATTTGTAATTACGTTTTCTAAAACATTTCATTCGACTGATAGTTTGTAAGTTTCGACACCTTGAAATCAAATAAATGAATTTATAGAACGTTCTGTTAGCATGACTACAAATTCAAAGGGTGATAGTAGGCATCAAGAGGAACAATAATTACGATGGAGAATGCTATCGGAATCCAAGTTTAGAAGGTGAAAATCACGAAAATAAACGTAATCTGACGTAACAAACATAACGAAACGCATACGCTAAGGCAGGATTACGCGCTATTGGCGGTGAAAGGCAGCACTGGTGGTTATCATACAGAACAATTCATATGAACAATGGTCCAAATAACAATGGTAAACAGTGGTTATTCACGTAAACAATGGTCGGTTTCATTCGGGAACGACATGGTTGACTGCACGAACTAAGCATATGCTGATATGCATTTGATTTACTTCTGATCAAATGGCAGTGGACATCTGGCACAGCGCATATACCAAGAAAAATGTCCAAGAAATCGACGTGTACGCCACAATGTCTTCGCTAAAATCAATTGATGACTAGTGTAATGATGTCCGCTGCTGCCATTTTGAACAGCAAAATCTAATTTGTCGTAATCCTTTTTCTGGCACTACAAGCTCCATCATAGTCTGCTTGTAAACATGCTGTGAAATAATACTAGACCTATTCTTCACTTAATACTAGACCTTTGTTTTGATCCCTGGTGGGGGGGGGCTTGTCATCAGCCCTTGCCTAGTCTTCTTGCGATTTTTACTGACTAAACGTAATTTGAGATTGCTCTATGACAGTTATTGTTCCACTGGATGCCTTCCCTTAGCCTTCTAAGTTTTTTTCTCATTAACATGACACCTATATATACAGATTTGGACTAATATGTGTGAAGGATCGATTGGCATCACTTGGTATGATTCTTCCTGTAAAGGTGCGAGTCTTCACCATTTATACAGCTAATGGTTAAATGTTAATTTCAAAAATGTTTAAGCTATTCTATATCTTAGGTTATGGCTTAGATGGCTGGAAGCTATGGTTACCAGCAAAAACGTTAAAGTCTTTGCTGGAAGCTATGGCTACCATACGTAATTATATTAATATTAATATAACTATTGGCTCTTTTAATAAATTATGTTCGTGACCATAATAATAGTGTAATTTAATATTGACAATTTCTGATTTTTCTGTTTGTAGAACACCAATTCCTGGTACAAATCGCTCACGTCCCAACCAAGAGTAAACTTGCCAGTGGACCTGCACGGTTGCACCTCTTAGACTACATGTTCTGCCTTACGGCTGGTGTACCTCCTAAACTTCTAGGGATCTGGCCTTTGAGGGAACTGCGACGGTTTGGAGTTGTAGATGGAAAGTTTTGCTTTGAAGGGGGATCTAGGTGTGGCAAAGGTAAAATGTTGCTTCTTCAACCCGGAATAATTTATAATGAATGCATTAAAATTAATGATAATCACTGCATAGAAAACGTAATTTTAATATTTTAATAAACGTAATTTAAAGTTTTCGTAATTTTAATAAATGTTAGTCTCTATTTATATATTGCACTTATAACTATGTACACTGTGCAAAAGAAATGGGACAGTTCTATGTCTCCCGTTCTACTATGCCGATTTACGAAATTCAAACTGCATTTTCCATGTCTCGAAAGCGCAACTTAGGATATATATTAGATTTATATATAGTATTGCTCTAGCGTAGGTATTTTGACACAAAATCAGACTTTTCTGAAATAACATACCAACATTTTTTCCGCACTTCGGTTCAACGACTCAAATTAGGCCTAAATATTATATTTTTTAATTTTTGGTGAGAAATTTAAAACTATTATATCCTGGCGTATTTTTTTCAATTTGAGCCAAGAATAATTCGCTTGGCGAACTTCTTAATTTATAGCAACCTACTTTGCTTTCCTTTTTTTCATTGTTCACGAGCGGAAAAAAAGAGAAACAGTACGTTATTATCGCTTATAATAAATACACCAAATTTCAAAATGCGCCAAAATGTAAAATTACGTATACTATCTTAGAAAATTTTGAATAGAAAAACTCTGATTTTTTGCAGGTATGCTTAGAAATACATCAGCTTTAAGATGATGGCAAAAGTTTTATAAGTTATAATTTATAATATTTTTCGAAAAATTTATAAAAATTATTTAAAAATACAAATTTATAAAATAAATAAAAAAGGGGCAAATTTTATTTGGAATGAACCTAAATTTCGAACTATGAAAGAAGGAATCAAGTAAGTGTTGTAAAAAAGAGATATTAATAAATACATACCAAATTCGATTAACATTGAGGAGCTAACATTTTGAGAGCTAATTTCTTAAAAACTACTTGTGCGACTTTTACAAAACTTGGCAGTAATGCTATATATAAATCTAATACATATCCCAAGACATGAAAAACAAAAGTTGAATTTCGTCAATCGCCCTCCGTAGAACGGGAGATATCGAAGTGCCCCTCTTTTTTTTCAGTGTACATAGAATATTATATAATGCTTTCATTTTCTTAATATTCGTAGTTTGCTCAGAAGTGCTTTCAATTATGCATATATAGATGTGCTGACATTTTTAAATTTTAAAAATGAATTATGTAAAAATAATGAAATATAACTTTTTATACGATCCCCCTGTCTCAATAATTACATTTAGTAAACGTTTATATTTATTCTAAAAAAAATTAAAACACAAAACGCTTTACTTCTATACTTATGTTTAAATACTTCTCTTACGGATTAAAAAGCATACTTTCATTCAATATATAAAAATAGAAAAAACTGAAAACGTTTCGTTGATAAGTTATTCTGTTTAATAAAAGTAGTTGAAAAGCATATCACAAAACTGCTTTTTTCTAATGGCAATTTAACTTTTTCTAATTTTAATCTGTAGAAAAGTACAAAAATTTATATCACTTATCCGAAACATAATGTATCTTACGTTATCACTTATCGAAAAATCCCTACATCAGATATTATTTATGGATATGTTCCTCTTCATTGATATCTGTGTCATTTACAAAAACAGTACATATCTATATGCTTCATTTTAAACATACGAATATCTGCATGCTTTATTTACACGAGTGCTATTTAATTTCTGTTTAATTTTATTTAAATATGTGTACTTTAAAACTGGTTTCATTAATTTCTTTTATATTTACGAATTAAATTTTAAAACTCCCTTTTAATTTGTAAACCTCTCATTTCTCAATTTAAGAAGGTAATTGGAAACTTACAATGGGTTCTTTATTTCTCAAACATCTAACATTGCATTGCTTTTCAGGAGAAGGGTTACACGTACTTTTGACAAATCAAGCTAAAGATCTTGTTCAGGCTTTTGATATGGCATCAAGAGGCAGATTACCGGGTAAAAGAAAAGTTTCTGTTCGTAAAAATACAAGTAAGTACAGTTTACACCTGTTGTAAAACCACTTTGAAATTATCTGAAACATTTAGCATTTAAGTGAAAAAAAAATTCGCATTTAATCGAAATTTCGAAATTATGTTTATAATGTTTTTAAGAGGTGTCACTTCACCTCAACATTAAAAACCTCAATTATATATATATATATATATATATATAGTATATAACTCTTTGAATATCCCTACTTATTTTAAAAAGACACCACGGGGAATGTTCCATACAGTTTTGGATTATATTTAAAAACGTAAATGCCACAGATAAGATAATTAATCAGTGAAAAGACATGTGGTACTCATCTCTTGGTTCTCAAAATAATTTCGCCCGGTTGAGAAAAATGCATTAAGTTTCAATACCTTCATTTAAATGTACGAAAACTAGCATTAACTTCAAGATAGTTGCCAAACAAGGTAAGTTAAACATAAATCAAAATTAATTTTACAGTGATAAAATCTTTACTGACAAGAATAGTTTTATAATTTGGTTTGTATCTGTTCAACTTGCTGATATGAACTGTCTAGTTGTATATTAAGAAAACAAATTGGGTAGATACATGCTAAATAATATTCTTCTTTCGCTTTATTTTCTTGTTAAATCTGGTATATGCAGTAATAAATTATTTCATGTTTAATGTGCGAGAGGAAAAAATGCAGAAGTGCACGATATTTGTATGGTAAAGCATCTTTGCACAAAGGTGTTTTAACTAAAACATTGACAAAAAGTATTGAAAGATGTTTTTCATTTAAGGTGGTGTGGATGGTAACAGAACTCTCGGTAACAGAACAAGTTGCGGCACTGCATTAGCAGATAATGAAAAACTGAACTCGGAAACGTGCAGTTCTGAATCTTCTACGAAACCCTTGTTGAGTTCCGGATCGGATGGCAGCGATATGGGCAAAGGCGTTCGCCCTTGTCACTTTCACTACAGGTGGCCATCGTGCATTGTTCCCTGCGGAGTCGCTACTAGGGGTGAAGGAGTGACAGACGAAGGTACCAGAACCATTGCGAGGTCAACTGTGGGTGGACATGGAAGGGCATCCGACGGACAAATGCTATGGTAAATATTTCACTTTACCCTTTTTTTTTTTTTTCTTCTTCTTTTTAAATGTGGTTGATTACGTAATGCGAAATATGAAACTTAAATTCAAATCACTATACAACGCTTCACCTTAACAACAACAGCATACCATATTTATCCTCCGCTGCCTCTCAAAGAAACTACAGGGATTATAATACCGGCCTTGACTCACAAATACTCGCGTTTCAACGTGACCATGAACGCGCTAGAATTAGAGAACAAATAGCTCTAAGATGTTAACTTCTACATGAGCCATTCTTTTAATGATTGCTTGAACATTGAATCAATTAATAGTTGGTCGATTTTCACAGAATTGAAATTTCGAAGAAAAGTGAATCCTCTTGAGTTTCTAAATGGTTGCAAGTTTTCAAATGAGTATGAGCATTCACCTCAGTAGCACCCCATATGTAACTGAGTAGTTGCTTGGGCAAACGATTACAAGTCACTTGTTTATAAATCCATTTTGCGTCCCATGTTGTGCTACGCCTTTCCAGGCTAAGCTTACTCTTGCAATATCTAATAGAAAGTAATTAAAAACTGCACAGAACTGCGTTTTGAGGCAGATCACGAAGAGCTGAAGGTTGGTTCGGCTCAAAACGTTCTACTACCACCTGCCAAGAATTGCCACCTGCCAAGAATTAAGAAATCTCAATAGTACTGAACTTAGAATATATATATTTATGGTTTTAAAGGTATTAACAACGAAAAGAGCTCTATGGCCATTTTAATTCAAGTTTTAATACTGAAACTTAATGCACCTTTGCTCATCCTGTACCAAATATGTTCTGTTTCTTGCATTACATTTTGCATGTCGTACTTATTCTTTCAATGCTAATGGTTATATATGTATAAATTATATGTATTACTTTAGATTGTGCACAATTTATAAACTTTTAACTTGTTTTAGAAGGCTTAAGGCATGGTGCCTAGGTACTCTGGTGCGTCCAAACACCGTTCCACCGAACTGAGGAGAAACACTCAAAGTATTTGAGATATTTGTTGTGATTGCTTAAGGCTTGATTTAGTATATGATTGAATTTGAATCTTTTCGATGATACCTTTGGAAATACGATATATGTATTGCGTTATCCGGAAAGTTCGTGCCGCTTTTAAAGGAAACTTCAGACGCAGGAGATTAAAATATTTATTAAATTAGATAAGTGTGATTCTGTTCTACAACCTTTCCCCATCTTTCAGGCAACTTAAAAATTCCGTCCTTCCAGAATCTCTCATCCTTTTCAGCGAAAGACTTTTCTACATGATTTTTATGTCGACCAAAGAGTTGAAGTTTATCCATTAAGAGAATTTTGTAATGATCTAAATAAGTGGAAATCAGAGAGCGCGAGAACAGGTGAATATGGTGCATGGGATAGAACATCCCAACCGAGCTCCAACTACTTTTGTCGAGTTAGTAAAGATGCATGAGGCAGTGCATTGTCCTAATGAATCATGACGCTCTTCTGATTCGCTATTTCAGTACTCTTTATTCTATTTCTGAGGTAAACTTTGTGAGATTTTCACTAAACTGATTGCGCAACTTTTGGTCTCGTTCATTCGCTTTCCCAACACTGTTGTAAGTTCAAGTTGGAATTCTAATATTTCTCTCTTCTGCCTCTCAGAGTGGAATGCGACTCTGTGTTCTATGGTAATTATTGCTCATCTGGATGAGTACTATCACCACTCTTAATTTGTAAAAATAATTTAGAATCATCCTACATACAGTTTGCCATGACATAAAAGTTCCAGTTCTGGCTGAAAGCTTAGGAATTAGGTACAAGATCGATACGCCTATAATTGATAGTCTCTCCCTCGGCACAGGTTCAACATGGTTGTTCAAAAACCCGTTTGAAGCTTAATAAATATAATAAGCTTGAGAAGGAGAACTATAGAAGTAAATAACAGTAAGATGATTTTCTTAGTTCAATTCTTATACTTTTTTATCACATACTCCACATCATTAGTAATAATAAAAAAGTACTGTGTAATGCCGCACATAAGCTGAGACTTTTTTACCATTTGCGCGTTCGTAAGTCATCTTATATAGTTCTCAAATTGTTCGATCCGAAAATTATATTATAGGTTTAATAATTGAAAAAATATTCTTACTTAATCCCAATATACTCTAATCAAAAATTTTAATACTGAAGACAGACTCGGAATTTTCTAGGAAATTCTGGAAGTCGCTTTCTGTCAATGGTAAAATCTGCGTGAATTTTAGTGTCTTCCATTTAAGAATTTTAGTGTATTCCATTGTCGTTCGCCTTGCAGGTAATATGATCTTCAATTCCGCATTGCTCAACAAAAGCAAATTATACCCTCTATACTTTGGTAACGTTAGTAATACGTTAAAAAATGCGTTAAAATTAGAAGAATGTACAGTCACATTTGCCCGAACATCATTCTGCTGCAACTGACAAGAAGAAAATATTGCAATTGATTGAGAAAAGTTAGCACAACTCGAAACCAAAGTAAAATTGGTCACACGCTTTTGTACAAAGCGCCAAATAATGTACTTGCTCAAACTTTAGAAGTTTATCGGCACCAAAGTGCGCCTACCTTCCATAGACCCGGTCTTATTTCTAATAGAAGCTGAAGGTTAATTAATGCTAATCTTCAGCTCTTTTGGTAGGTATAGTTAAGTTACACGATTAATTATTCGCGTATTTAATGATATATAGAGCTCAATTTACAGTCTTCTTGGTTGTTCTAAATTCAGTTTATACGCTTGTTTTCAATATTGGTTGAATTACTGCAGCAAAATTTTACTTCTGTTTTCATATGCGTATTACCTTATATTTGAAAATATGCAGTAGTCATATTTGCGTTCTTCTATATAAGAACAGATCTGCCCCGTCTTTCTATTACTTACTTATTACGAAAATCATTTCTTAATTTTCATAAATTTTGGGGTCAGTGAGTTTCGAAACAAATTGAGAGTAGTTCAGTCTGTCAATCAGTCTCGAAAAAAAAAAGATCGTCTTTTTTTCCAGGGCTGTTGGTCACTGTCAAGGATGTGGTGTACATTACTGTCGAAGGAATACTAACGATAAAGAGAACACAGTCCCTGCAACTGGAGAGGAGAACACAGGATTTACCCCACAATGGACAATGGATCTTGGAATTGTGTCACCCTCAAAGGATGGTACAGCACCCAACGTTCAAACCAGGACGTGTTCCAGAAACAGAACTAAAGTGTCACCCCACGACAGATCTTCTTTATGCTCACAAAGCAGTCAAAGTAGTGGCACCAGCACAGGCAGCAACGCAAGTTCTAGCAGTAGCAGTAGCATGTCTGAGTATTCAGTGCCTAAAAACTGTCTTGAAGCATTCTATGACAGGTAGGGATTTTAAGACATTTTTCCTTTATGAAATATGATTTTTTTTTTAATCCATGTGCTTTGTTTTCATAAATTATGAGTTTTCTGAAATCATTCTCAATACTTATACAGATCTATCTATATAAATAGCTTCCTTTTTATTTTCCGCCTACATTACTATGATCAAAATGCATCGAAAACGACAGTTAATAGTCAATATTTATTAAATCCCTACAAAGCAATTCTCACTGAATGTAATGTACATATGCAAAGTTTTCAAATTCTCGAAGTATGTTTTATAATCATTTCCACGAAACTGAAAAAGGCTAATATAAAATTTTATTTAATTTCACCAATACACTCAACGCAATGACTACCAATCATAGGTCTCAAAGAGAAAATAATCCAGTGCTGTATCTAGTGAATATGCAACTTAGGGAGCCGTATTTGTTGAAATTTTGGCAAAACTGCTCTAACAACACAAACACTGTGAATAAATGTATCATTGTGGTGTAAAATAGTACAGGGGTCCTTTCATAACAATGAGTTACTTCCTGCGAATGCCTCAAAACGCTCAAATGATATTTTTATTCTGACTCGTTTCGCACAATAGAGGAAATTCGTGATGCATTGCATTATGAAAATCAAACTAAAAGACATCATTTACCCCTTTTCAGCAATTTTGAAGAGGTATTTTTCGGTCTTGTTTTATTTGACAAGGTGTATTCACTTGATTTTTGAGCTGCTTTCCATATCAAAAGTTTCATTACCGACTTGTAAGACTCAACTTGTAAGTTTCTCTGAGTCACGCGAGCACCTTTTTATTTTGCGATAAAATTCGATGTTTTTTCGTTAGTTCAAGTCAACTTGAGAAACGGAAACTAAGGTATAATACCCTTATTCCTCTATTACCAGTGCCTCAGCGAAATTTCTGCTCTGAAGTTCAAAAGTGTCCGTATGTCGCAAACACTATATACAAATATCCAGGATATTTGTAGTAAATATTCTTCGGGATTTGAACTAGGGCCAGTGATATGACAGCCGCCTCTGTTAACTAGTGTGCTGAACAAAACAACCGTAAATAATGTAAGTTTGAAATATAATTTGAATACGTACCGTATTTTTCGGTGTATATGACGCACGTTTTCTTTAACGATTTCGTGTCTAAAAATTGGGTGCGTCTTATAGAAAAAGATTGTCAACGATGGCGTGCATGTTAACCCACAGAATGCTGCTCACCTTTCCTTTGAAAACCCGAAAAGTCTAAAATTCCATTTTAAATTCATTCTTTCCCCCAATTCATTAACGAACAAAGAGGTAGGAAGGTTCAAAATGATATCTTTTCTAGTTTTTAACAAAGCTTCCACCCTGAATGTATACTAAGTCACCTTTAAGCTAAAGGTAAAGAACCACAAAAGAATACTTTTAAGACAAGAACTTCTATAATAAAGATGAAATATTACAATACATTTGGGGAACCTGACCTTAGGCTATTGTATACTTTATAGGCTGCTAATGAGTAGGAGTTCTGACAGCAATAATGTGCTGTATACTGAATCAACGTTGATTTGAATAACTTTAGGTGATAGCTTTTCCTGTTAATTTGTAATCCAGCAAGCTGGTAAAAACTAGTTTGTCAACTAAATAATTCTTTACTTTTTTTTTATTTTCGGGCCCCAAAATCAAATTGCGTCTCGCACGTGGGAGCTTCTCATACAAGGAGAAATACAGTAATTCAGATGTAATTTGAAATTCGGTAATTTAGTTTTATTCGATAGTACTAAAATCTGGATACCTTTATTTTCAGGCCCAAGAACGTTCATCACCAAAATACCCCATCCTCTACGTTTCCTTACAACCGCCTCAGCCTTACCGAAGACAAAGATAGGTTGGGTCCTATCAGAGAAGGTGGACCTTGCACGTGTTGGAAGCAACAGAAGACATCCGATCCAGCGTCCCATGAATTGTTGCTGTTTGGTGGATGTCTTCTGTGCTCCTGCTGGGGTCGGACGAGTGTAGATGTGGACATGCCATCAGTAAGTAGCAGCGGAAGTAGTAATGCATCCCCCTCCACATCACCTAAAAAGCAAATGCCATTGGTGAGTGTCCCAATCCTGCTACCTTGCACTTGCGGGAAAGCTGCAAATAATCCATACCTCAACTATGCAGTTCCAAGATCTGGAGCACCAGTTAAAGTAAGTAGTGGCTTCGGAGTACAAAATTTTTAATTAGGTTTCATAAATATAAACCTATCCCTTTTGATTTTGAAAATAAAAAGTCACATTTTCTTTTCTCATGAAAATACTTTAATCTGGAAATTAAAAGTAATGGATTGCTTATAGTTATTAATTCTTTTTAGTTCTAGTTTCTTTGCTTAAACTAATAACTAGTTATTTTAGAATTTTATGCTACATTATAGTTTATTACATTATCATATTTATATACAAACGCAGATGCGTAGTGCTAGTTTCTTACAGCCAGCTGCCGATTGTGCTAAGATTGTTTATAATATGTTATTCATACTGTCGGCCTGTAAAATTTCTATACAATGAAGGACGTACACAGCAAACCCGAAATTTTCTTAGAAGGAAAAGCTGAAATTTACCTACAACGCCGCGTTCAATAAAGCACATACATATGTCAGTGACAATATGTCATTTTTTTCTGTTAACCTATTATCTTGCATTCTTCATAGTCTCACAGGTTCATCTGGACCGCTGGTACAGAATGCCCCACGATCTGCATCCTATTCACTTCTAGCCTGTATATCTGATGGGTTTTGCCATTTATCATTACATTACTGAAGTTTTAATGTTCTTGGCTATGCCCAATTGTCGGAACTTCAACACTCAGCATCGTAATAATGTCCATGTTGCCTTACATTTCTTCAACACAAGGTGTTCGACTCACTACTATAAACGAGGCTCTTTCCAGATCTCTCTACTACTGAAAATATCTGATAAGTGATGCAAAAGAGATGGCACGACAGCCCCGATCAACCAGTATGAAGAAGAATTTTGGCATACAAATCAAGCTATATTGACTGGAATACTAAAAACTGCCACCAAAAATCTGTTCGACCCCGGTGTATAATGGCTTCTATTATTGTAAGAGGCAGATCCTCTGGGTAATAATTTCTGCACGTTTTGTATAATATATTTACCTGAAGTTTTAAACATTTCTCCCTTCCATTACATGGTTATTTGTAAATCAGTACGATTCTTCTTTTCATGGTGTAGCAATTTAAATGGCTAGCCGTGTATGTAATCAACCATAAATAGTAATTTTGACGAAACAGAACAGCACAATGCATTACACGCCCCTAACGACAGAACGTAGCCTGTAACAGAGGCATTGTTTCAGACTACTGACTCTATAATGCCACTAGATAAAAAAGAAATGATGCATAGAAAATCACAGATAGATATTTTTATGTTTCAGATTTTTTGCTTTTATGAAAATGTAACTCAAAAATACATTGCGATATATATAAAGTAAAATGTGTATTTGAGCTCGAAGTTTCAAGCAGTTTACATAATTGTAAATATTAAAAAAATTCACAGAGCTCTTCTTATTTCTCCCAACAAGGGTCTTCTAATCTATTAATAATGCACAATATGTGAAATATGTCCATACTAATCTGTTCATAATGCACAATATGTGAAAAAAACCCTCTATATTTAACCAGATTATCAAGCTGTTATTTACTTACAAAATTTGAAATCAAACTTTCCGAGTTTTTTGTTGTTGAATAAATCTCTGATACAACTTCAGATGGCAGACGTCCAAAAATGTGCTTTAATATCTTTTCTGAAGACAGACCAGTCAAACTCTTACCTTACGGTTGTCACCGTAACATTATTTAGCTACAAAGCACGCTTAGTTGAATTCAATTAAAAAACAATTTTCGGTACCGGACTAACAGATTTTATTATACACGTTTCTCAAAAGTTCACTTTCTAACTTTTAACTGCGACTGTAACCGTGAAAACTTTTCTAACTAATTACTAAGCGGAGTGGAAAGCAGCTGGAGAGTGTCCGTAAGTAAGAAAAATTTGACAATAAACGAACAAAAAAATCCCATTGGTTCCAGCCAAAGGCACGTGCAAACAGACCATGACAAATGCTCGGGTTGAGCTGTTTTGTGCGTGCTTGTGTGTTTACTTCGTTACTGGTAGAGAAAGAAGGCATTAGATATAAATAAATAAAAAGAGTCCCAGAAGCGAAATCGTGTAACTACAGAAACATTTGCTCTGCTCTGCTATTGGTCGTCGTTATTTTTAGAGAAGGCATATAAGGAGGGTTCATTCCAAGTGAAAAGAAAGGTAAAATAGCATGGATCGAAATATTCGGAAGAGGAAATAATAATCTCCATGTGTTGTTGTTTCAGCTTGGGATTGAAGAAGGCCAATTTTAAAGTTGGATTTTTTTTTCTTTTATTTCTGTAGATCTTACACGAGTGTCATTCCCAGTACGAGGGTCGGAAAGAGGGGAGAAATGCTGCTTTAAAATATTGGAGAAATATTCGTGAAAAATTTTCCAACATTCTTTCAGCCTTGAATTCGCTATGCGTTTTCTTTTTCATTTTGTGATCTTTCCTTGTGTGTACCAACATGCAAATAGTAAAATCAATCACGAATTTTCGAACCTTCTCTCGGAACCGAAAAAAGAAAAGCTTTTTTGCAAAGGCTTGCAGAGTTTGCAGAGGCTTTCAGAATACAAAAAAGCTCTTCCTTAAGATATAGTTTCTTTCTTCTATTTTCTACTTCATAAATACATTTAACAAACTACTTAAAGAATCACGCTGTTAAATGAACTTTATTATCTTTCTGTATGTAATAAATATTCAAGAAAATTTTTCCACTTTGCAATTGGAAATGACTTCAAAGCGGGTCTGATTACGCATATCAGAGCTTAAATTGAGTTTGAATAAATGTATGAATAATCTAATTATGACTACTACATAGGCTATCAAGTCTTCATTTGGTTATATATAAATAATCAGGTCTCAGCACCCAAATTAATAAAATTCAATTGCATTTATTGCACCTTTAAAGAATGCGCAAGGTTTTTACTTAACCTATAATACAGCACACACAGATTAGCTCTAAACATTTTTATTCTCTTTCCGGCAAATGATATCGATATTGCTGGTTACGGATACTGATATGAGCTGGTATTGGAGATCTAGGTAAATGGAAATTGCTATTTTTGAAATAAATATTTCTATTGGTAAAATAATGAAGCTTCATATCTTCATATCATTCCTTCAAATCTGAATCTAAAATGTTTATCTCGTTGTTTAATCTAGGTTTTGAAAGTCTCAGTAATGAAATGTGTGAACGAAATTGAGAAATGAAATGAGTGACAAAAAATGTGAATTGAACAATCTAGAATCATCTTGAAAATTCATAGGATGTAAGGATACAAATATGCCATCCTTACATTTGCCACTGCTCTATTTCTGAAAAACAGGTTTAATTAATATTTTGAGTGAATTATATAGATTGGACCAGTTAACTATGAGTTATTCACTTCAAATGGGCTAGTGAGAGTAGAAAAATGTCCCTTTAGAATATCTGTCTCTGTTGTTCTATAGCACTGCTCGCACGTTCTCTTATAAATTTTAGTTTGTACATTTTTAATTGTTAATCTAATTTAATTTAATCTACACAACTATCTAGGAACATTAAAGGAATAACTATAGCAAAAGCAATCAAAAGTTCATTTCTGCTATATGTTAATTACATACGGAAGTTTACAAATTGTAAGATTGACTTAACTTTTTGCAGCTGAGAATGCATCAATAATAACTTTAATATGTATAAATGAAACAGTAGACTACGCGCTAATAATCCGGCTCCAAATTTAGGTAAGGTTTCTGTTTCTAACTAATATCAAAAGACAGAAATTCAACGAAACTAATCAGCTATACAGGTGCAGAATACTGCAGTCCCATCGTCTGAATTATTAATACTCCCTCTCTGAAATTACATTGTCTCTGAAATTACATTTACTTTCCCCTGGAACTGCCAATGCCAGAATATGTAAATTTGAGTAGAACGCGCAAGGATTCAAATTATCAGCGGAAGTATTATGATTTAAATAGAAGGGAAACGAGTTCGGTGTGTGATATTCTTACTTCACGAGCGCGGAGGTAGTTAGCGAGAAATTGAAGAACCCCGCGTTTCGGCCTATGTGCTTGGCGGGAAGTAGTGTTAATCGTTCAAGTGAGCTTCAAGTCTGCTGAATTAGCAGCGGTATTGTAAAACGCGGTGAGTTAGTTATTTTAGAGAGCCTTGTAGTTAGAGTCTTGTCTTTAGTTTCTTTTCAGGTTATTATTTTTATTTGACCGCCGAGTTGGCGCAGTCTGTGAGCGTCAAGAGCACGCAATTGTAATTTTTACGTAGAATAAAAAGGGACTTAAACCCTTCACAAGACTCTGTATTTTATCCAGTTTTCACAGTCACCTCTTGGTTGCGTGCAAGTTGGAGGCGCGCAACGTTACATTGGCGCCCGAACACTTATCGAACTGAAATGGCCGAAAATTGGATGGAAGCCGCTCTGGACAACACCAAGAGAACTGGACAAGCCAAGTTAGAAGGATTTGGATACCTGGTCCAGACGATTTGAGAGCGTCAATTCAAGCCAAACGTCCATTTCGACGGCAAAAAATTTGGTGGCGGTATTTTCTAGAAGGCTCTAGAAATATCGATTTCTTTCACCTCTACCCTGTTGCCTGAAAGACAAAAAGTTGCCATCGCCACATCAGCACTAAGAGGACAGGCCGCGCTATGGTGGAAAAATATAGGCAAATTTTTATTAGGGGAATTTGGAAGCCAGACATATATATTTGAAAATTTCAAAAAATCGTTAGTAAAGGCCTTCCCCATAGTGAAAGATCGCGCACGGCTGGAAGCCGAACTATATAGTTTCTATCAACGGGATATAGCAGAATTGACGGACTTTATTCTACGAAAAATCAAGCTAACGGATATGCTGTAGGGAAAGAAACCCGATGCGGAGATTATTGAAATAATATTACCAAGATTGTTACCCGCTGTTCAAGACTACTTTGAAATTAGAAACCCAAGCACATTGCAGGAACTCTTCGAATTGGCGGTGAAGTTTCAAAATCGCAGAATAGCGGAAAAAGCGAGAGGGACAACGTATTCTCAAAGTACCCGAAGGAAAT